TCCCCCCACATGGGTCCTAACCCTGAGAGCCACCTCACGGTTCTATGACTGACTTTTTAATTCTGAGGTAGGGTCTCACTCAATAGCTTGGGCTGGCCCTAAACTTGCAGTCCGGGGGTCTCAGCCTTCCACAGGAGTGCACCACCACCACACCTGGCTTCCTGTGTATTTGGCCCTTGTTTCAAGGGTCCATAGGATTTGCTAGGCTAGCAGAGGGGGTTCAATGTAAAGTCAAGGGTAAGAGTTGGCTCTGGCCAGGCTCCATGGCAAAGGCAAAGGCCTGTGATCCTAGGACTTGGGAAATGGAGGAATGAGTTTCAGGTCAGCCGAAGCTGCACACTGAGATCTCAGGACGCGGAGGAACTGGGAGAGGGAGGGAGGGAAGGAGGGTGGGAGATCCCATCTCAGGACTCGGAGGAACTGGGAGAGGGAGGGAGGGAAGGAGGGTAGGAGATCCCATCTCAGGACTCGGAGGAACTGGGAGAGGGAGGGTATTACTTTGACGGTTGGCATGGTAGTGGGTGTCTGTAATTCCAATACTCAGGAGACTGAGGCCAGCGTGGGTTACATGGTGAGAACCTGTTTTCTTTTCTTTTTTTTTAAAAGGGAACAATGAAGGAAGAGAGGAAGAAGAAGAGGAAGGAGCAGAAGCATTTGGAAGGCAGAGGCTTGAGGATCCTTATGAGTTCAAGGCCAGCCTGGTCTATAACAGAGTGTTCCAGGACAGCCAAAGCTACATAGTGAGACCCTGTCTGAGAGACAGGGAGGGAAAAGAGAGGGAGAAGGAGAGCAGAAAAAAGAAAAAGAGATCTTGTTCTGAGGGGGCTGGCTTCCCTTCCCTCTGTGCAGCCCCTAGAACTGAGCGTGGTACTAGTAACCTCTCTGGGTGCCAAGGCTAGTTCTCTTTTGTGCTGGCAATGCCCTCTTCCTGCCAGCAGGTGGCAACACTACCCCCATGTCAGAGGACATGCATCACTACACCTCCTGTGCGCATGGAGGTGGGGGCAGCTGGGCTCCTGGACCATTTCTTTTTTTTATTTTGTAACACTGCATGTTATGGAAATTTCACACACGTACAAGGCATATGAGCCCCAGGGAGCCAAGATCAATCTACACCCTGCCTGTTGAGCACTCCAGATGGTCAGCCTGGTCCTGCCTCCCAGACCTCCACACAAGGGGACCCAGCACCATCCCGAAGTCTCCCTCTGCTTTCAAGCCTGCACCTTGCCCACTCTGGCCTGAATCCTCCAGTGCCTACTCATTTCCTCTTGCTCCGCCCCTCAGAAATTAAGGAACAGATGACCGGCATTCTCCGGACTCTCTCCGGGTGGCATCTGAAAGCCAGGATGAATTCCAGCATCCTCATGCCCTTGGCAGCCACCATTGTCACTGTCGCAGACTCACCAAGACCTCTTCCCGGAGCTGGAGACAGGCCCGGGGTTGGCGTCTGGCCTCAGACCGGAAGCATACGGTGGAGATATTCCAACTGGATGATGAAGCATCCAGAAGGATCCTGTGTGTGGACCAGGGTTGTCCTCAGCCTGCCTGCTCTCCAACTCACTCGCTGAGATGCGGGCATCTACCTCCCAACGTGCGCCACCAACGGCCCGCGGAACATTTGTTTTAATGATGCAAAGATGTGTTGCATTTGTTTAACTCTGTGAAGCTGTGATTCTTTGCCTGTCTAAAACACCTGATGGTCTAATAAAGAGCTGAACGGCCAATGGTGAGGCAGGAGCAAAGAGAGGCGGGGCTGGCGAGCAGAAAGACTAAGAGAAATCTGGGAAAGAGGAAGGAGCAAGAGACCAGGGATCCAGAAAAGAAGGACCCAGCCACCCACTCAGCCAGCCACCCAGCCAGCCACTCAGCCACCCAGCCACCCACTCAGCCAGCCACCCAGCCACCCAGCCAGCCACCCAGCCAGCCACCCAGCCAGCCACCCAGCCAGCCACCCAGCCACCCAGCCAGCCACCCAGCCAGCCACCCAGCCAGCCACCCAGCCAGCCACCCAGCCACCCAGCCAGCCACCCAGCCAGCCACCCAGCCAGCCACCCAGCCAGCCACCCAGCCAGCCACTCAGCCACCCAGCCACCCAGCCAGCCACCCAGCCACCCAGCCAGCCACCCAGCCACAGAGTAAAAGTAAGATACACAGAAGAAAAGGAAAAGGCCCAGAGACAAAAGGTAGAGGGGATAATTTAAGAAAAGCAGGTTAGAAACAAACCAAGCTAAGGCCTCTGTGTGTGATTTATTTGGGCGCTGGGTGGTGGGCCCCCAAAGAGTAAGAGCAAAGAATAAAAATCAACAACATGTATGTCCATGGGAGGGCGCCAGATCTCCCGGAACTGGAGTTACACAGTTGTGAGCTGCCCTGTGGGGCCTGGGAATTGAACCTCTGACCTCTGGAAAAAGTTTCTTAACCACTGAGCCATCTCTCCAGCCACAAAGGACCTTTTTTTTTTTTTTTTTTTGAGACTCGGTCTCATCTGGTAACTCTGGCTGGCCCAGAACTCACCATGTAGACCAGGCTGACCTCAAACTTGGCGATCTAAAGTCAGGGAATTCCTTAAGGACCCCAGAGGTCTAGATGTACTCAAGTATAAATATGTGTGTACACAAACGCACAGCTACCCATTTTTTCTTTTAATAAACATTTTATTTCAGAATAAAGTGAGGACAAAGAACAGTCCAGAGCTTGCACTCCTGCCCGCTGCCCAGCTCCTTTTGTGTGACCTTCTCACACCAGCGCCAACTGTGTCTCAAAATAAAGATTCGGTGCAGGGAACTCTGCACACAGTGTGGCACGGTTACTTAGCGCCAATGAGGCCCTGGACTCAACACCCAGCACAAAGTAAACTAACACTAGCATATTTCTTTTCTGTTTAAAAAAACCATTTTAATGATTATGATTTTATGTGTGTGTTTTCTTTGCATATGTGTCTGCACACATGCATGCACTATTCAGGGAGGCCAGAAGAGGGCATCAGATCCTCTTGAACTGGAGTTACAGATGGCTGTGAGCCACCATGTGGGTGCCGGCAATTGAACCCAGGTCCTCCAGCAAAGCAGTAACTGCTGAGCCACCACTCCAGGCCGGCTTTTCTGTTGTTTTGAGATAGGAGCTCATGTAACCCCAGCTGGCTCTCATGTGTTAGAATTACAGGTATGAGCCACCCTACCAGGCTGCCATGTCTGAATGCTTATTTAGACATTTAAGAGACTTTATTTAGGCAGGGTCTCACTGTGTAGCTTGGACAGGTCTGGTGCTTCCCATACATAGTTCAGGAAGACCTTGAACTTATAGAGACCCACCTGCTTCTGCCTCCAGAGGCTGGGGTTAAAGGCCATTATAGCCAACAATCCAGGTGGTTTTTCTTTAATATTTTATTTATTGTGTATACAGTCTTCTGCCTGCATATCAGCAGAGGGCACCAGATCTCATTCAAGGTAGTTGTGAGCCACCATGTGGTTGCCAGGGAATTGAGCTCAGGACCTCTGAAAGAACAGTCAGTGCTCTTAACCACTGAGCCATCTCTCCAGCCTGCTCCAGGCTTTTTTTTTTAGGTGAATTCTCCCGGAAAGGAACAATTTTTCTTTTTTAATTAATATCTTGTGTGCATTGGTATTTTGCCTACATGCATGTCTGTGTAAGGGTGTTGGATCCTGGAGTAGTTATAGATGGTTGTGAGCTGCCATGCAGGTGCTAAGAATTGAACCCAGGTCCTCTGGAAGAGCAATCCGTGCTCTTAACCACTGAGTCACCTCTCCAGTCCCGACAATTTTTCTTGCTGTCCTATTGGCACAGATAAGATCCAAGCTGGGCTGAAAGAGAAGTTTCTTGAAAATGGCTTCACTTGAACTCAAGATAATGCACACTAGAAGCCAGAATGTGGCCCCTTTAACTTACAAGTCCCTGGCCAGTCAATTGATGGGGGAAGGGGAGTGGGGTCGGACATTCTTGACTTCTGCGGGAAAACTGAAAAAAATGTGAAGATTGTGCTGCGAGGCTCTCCCATGTGTGGCCGCAGGCAGACCTCCCGGAGGACTCTGAGGCTCCTGTCACTGCTCAGCATTCCTGGCATTTCATCAGCCCTACTTCGGCCCACGCCTGGCTCCCCAGGCCTGGGGAGCTGAGGGAGTGTGTGGTGGAGCCGGCATGGTGTGCAGTCCATCCACCCGGCCTCACCACAAAGCGGCCCTCTCTAAAGGCAGCCTCGGCGCCCAGGTCTCCTTAGGGGCAAGAGCAATCCCTGTGGGGAGGGGCTTGCTGGAGGGTGTGGCTGCACACCTCTCCCCCTGACATCAGGAGAAAGGGGGGGGCTGCACACGCCCACCTCCCCAGACACGCACAGTAACAAGTGAATATGACTGCAAAAATACCCGAGAGAGAAGAGAGGGCTAGCTGTCTTCTGAGGTCCAGCCTAAGGTTAGACCCCCCCCCCCAAATGGCAGAGGCTATGTCCAGGGCCTCAAGGCCTTTAGCATTCTAGGACTGGAAAACTTGTATCGGGTACTTTTTTTTTTTAAGGATTTCACACTATAGCTCAAGCTGGCCTCAAACTCATTGAGAGCTCAGGCTACCCTTCAGCTAGTGATCCTCTTGAATGCTGGGCTTGCAGGCCTAAGCCACCACACCTGACGCATCCAGGTTTCCTGAGAAGCACCCTAAATACAATCGTGAGAGGGGACAACGTGGGATCACTCACGAGGCAGATCTGAGCCCTGGACCCGTCTCCAGGGACAGCCGCTAGAGGGTTAGGTTCTATACTCAGTCCCTCACTGTGACCTCCACCGTAGCCACCCTTTCTGTTTGGAACATCTGTGTCTCTGTCTGCGAGCAGACCCTTGCTCTCATGGAACAATACACTTGGATACTCAGCATGGGGCTTCACAGCTAATACACTATTACTAAAATTCCTTCCCAGGGGAAGATGTTAGCAACATCTATCCCACCTCCTAAGGTTGCAAAGACAAACCGAGGCTTATCGTGGCTAAGTTGACTCTGGAGAACCGGTGGGTTTATTGGGCATCTAGATGAGGGGTTACTTACAGGGGTGTGGGTGTGTCTCTCCAACGGGCCGCATGTGGGAAGCATGGATGAGGATTTTTCTGTAGCTGCACAGATGGCAGCCTGCTCCCCTAGGGTTCCCCAGCCCCTCCCTGAGGACATGTGCACTTAAGGCTGAGGCCGGATACTCAGGTGAGGGTCCTGAGACTCTCCTCAGGCCTCCCTGTGGAAGCGCAGTCAACAAGCCCAGTCGGAAAAACCCTTTCACAAGGGGTGCAGTTGAATTCCCCCAGATGTCAGCTGCTTAGCTAGGAGGATAAGCATGCAAGATACACACCCCATAAACGCAGCAATTATTACCTGTACACGCAAACGTCTCACGGCCGGAAGTGGCCCACAGCCCAGCCCCTGTGCCTCCCCCTGCCACTTGACACCCCTGAACACGCTTCTCCTGGGGTGCGAAAGCCCGCGCATGCCCCAGCAGCTCTTACCCACCAGCTTCCAAAGTCGGGGCGCCTCTCGAAGGTCTGGGCGTCTCTCACCTTTTCCTTGCTTCTCGGCCCAATAACGTGCAGCACTTCTAGGGCAGTATACTTGCTGATTGCTTCCTTCGCTATTACTCACAACAACCAGCTAAGACACTGCCAAAGAGGCACTCACAGCTGGCCAGCTGGGCTGAGGATCTGCGGACAGGCTCGAGGGGGGGACCCGCGGACAGGCACGAAGGGAGGACCCGCGGACAGGCACGAAGGGGGGACCCGCGGACAGGCACGAAGGGAGGACCGCGGACAGGCATGAAGGGAGGAGCCGCGGACAGGCACGAAGGGGGGACCCGCGGACAGGCACGAAGGGGGGACCCGCGGACAGGCACGAAGGGAGGAGCCGCGGACAGGCACGAGGAGGGGACCCGCGGACAGGCACGAAGGGGAGAACCTCGGGCAGGCACGAAGGGGAGAACCCGCGGACAGGCACGAAGGGGAGAACCCGCGGACAGGCACGAAGGGGAGAACCCGCGGACAGGCACGAAGGGGAGAACCCGCGGACAGGCACGAAGGGAGGAGCCGCGGACAGGCACGAAGGGGAGAACCCGCGGACAGGCACGAAAGGGAGACCCGCGGACAGGCACGAGGAGGGGACCCGCGGACAGGCACGAAGAGGGGACCCGCGGGCAGGCACGAAGGGGGGACCCGCGGACAGGCACGAGGAGGGGACCCGCGGACAGGCACGAGGAGGGGACCCGCGGGCAGGCACGAAGGGGGGACCCGCGGACAGGCACGAGGAGGGGACCCGCGGACAGGCACGAAGGAAGGAGCCAGGGATCAGCATAAAGACGTAGGGGAATGGGGAGGCTGTGGGAGAAAGCTGAGACTCCACCAAGTGCAGCAGGCTCCTCGGCACCCTGAAGACAGCACATGGCACGGGGTGGGAGTGCAGGGGGGACAGCGGCTTCACTCGTGCCTTCCCTGTCCCAGCACGCACAGAGGACACACTGGTCAGTTCAGCTGGAGGGACAATGCCACCAGAAGATGTTCAGGAACTCCTTCAGGCTTCCACTAGGAGGCTCGAGTCAGGAGGTTCCTTTGAGTTCAGGGGTTCGAGATCAGTCTGGGCAATATAGTGAGTCTAAAGAAAACAAAAACAGGCTGGAGAGATGGCTTAGTGGTTAAGAACACTGGCTGCTCTTGCAGAGGACCCAGGATCAGGCTTTTTGAGCACCTATAAGGCAGCTCACAACTATCTGTAACTCTGATGCCTTGTCCCGCCTCCGAGGGCACCGGGCACACACATAGTGTACATGCATCAGGCAGCACACTTATACACATTAAACGTAAGTAAAGTGGGCCGGGCGTTGGTGGCGCACGCCTTTAATCCCAGCACTCGGGAGGCAGAGGCCAGCCTGGTCTACAGAGCGAGTTCCAGGACAGGTTCCAAAGCTACACAGAGAAACCCTGTCTCGAAAAAACAAAAAACATAAGTGAGCCAGTAAGATAGGTCAGCGGGTAAAATCACTTAAAACCAAGCATGATGACCTGAGTTCGATTCCCAGAGCCCATATGACGGAAGGAGAGAACTGACTCCTACAAACTGCCCTCTGACCTCCACACACACACATGCTATGACATGCGTGTGCACCCCACCCCACCCGTTCCTGCCCTTGAAAACCAAATAAACAAATGTGAAACGACAGCAACCTTCCCCCAACCAAACCCAAATAACCAGTGGGGCTGGTCAGGCCTGAAGAGCTGACACTGGGGACAGGGGGAGCATTTCGTCTCCAGGGATACTCAGACACTCCTTAGCTGGTTGGAGGAAGCCTGAAGGAAGCCGGAGTCTTCCGCAGAAACACCTAGGCCAGCGTTGGGTGGGTGGCTTTGGATTCCAGCCTCCAGTTACACGGAAAACTGACCATGACCTACCGGCCGCCTTAAGGTCCAGTGACTGGGCTGGGGCGGGGATTCAGCTGGTAGAGCCCTTGCTTAGCGGGTTCGAGACCTTGGGTTTCACCACCAGCACTGTAAACAAAAAGGTCTAGATCAGTGCATCTTTCAACCCCCGTTAGAGAAGCTGCTTTTGTGGCCGGTGGAAATTAACCCGGAGACCCACAACTGAGCCCTGTGCAGACAATAAGGCTCCAAATGTGACATCTGCGTCACAATCCCCCTCAGGGCTCAGGGGTCATCTCCGGAGGAGGTGGGGCAGGAAGACGGTAAGAGTTGGAGGCCATGGACCTCTTCAGTTAAACGGGTGTCTGCAGGACACTACAAGGCCATCGTCCACATGGACTCAGTGGCTGTGACTACTTTCACAAGCCCTGTACAAGGACACCAGCCAAAAGCCCAGCATGGCCAGAGGAGGCCTCATGAAGTCCCACCTTAGCTGAGTTGTTGGTGACTGGTGGCTGCTGGAGGTGGGTGGTATCAGGTTCTTCATGGGTATGGTCCCTGAGAGGTTGTCTGTGCTCCAGCAATAATTCTACAGCCATTAATGTACAGACAGCACGGAATGGTCTCAGTGGCCTCAGTAAGCAGCACATGGAGACGGTAGGGGAATGAGCGAGGCCCCGGCAGCTTGGGCCCATGGTGCTCGAAGGCCGTGTGTGGCTCTGTCTTCCCCGGCCCCGCCTTATCCCTTCCTCGGCGTGTGGGCCACCATTCCCTGAGTTGTCCCTTGTGTTGACCCTCTTGCTACCACCCAACTAGGGAGGATCAGGCTTGGAGAATGTGGGGTCCTCCCCCCAGCATTTAACGTAATTCCAGACACAGGCGATTACACCCCAAGAGTCTGGTTGAGACAAGAGGAGCTGGAGTCTGAGGCCAGCCTGCTTTCCATGCCAGGACTTTGTCTCAGGGAGCGTGCCTGCTGCCAGGATTGACACCCTGGATTTGATCCCTGGATCCACACGCTGAATAGAAAGAGGCAACTCCCGGAAGTTGTCCTCTGCTCTCCACACATGACCCACACACATACATACATGAATACACACATACACACATGACCCACCCACATACCTACACAAATATACACATATGCACCCACACACATACATACATGAATAATACATACACACACGACCCACACACATACATACATGAATACATACATACACACATGACCCACCCACATACCTACACAAATATACACATATGCACCCACACACATACATACATGAATACACACATACACACACGACCCACACACATACATACATGAATACACACATACACACATGACCCACCCACATACCTACACAAATATACACATATACACACATATGCACCCACACACATACAGACATGAATACACACATACACACATGACCTACACTCATACAGACATGAATACATGCAAAGTGACAAAGTGAATGAATGAATGAATGGATGGATGAATGAATGAATGAATGAAAACTTAAAAAGGAGTCCAGCACAGTGTCTCACACTCATCGTCCCAGCACTTGGGAGGACAGCCTCAGTTACATGAGACTATCTTTAAAGACCCAAAATGATGAAGAAAACAAAAGCGGCACATGTGGGAGGGGCCTGGCTGGCACAATCAGTGTGAGAAAGGGAAGCCCGTGAGGAGACACCCGCAAGCCTGAGTGTGGGAATACAGAGGCCACAGTAGTGTTCTCTAATGAGGCCTGGCTGAGGTGGGGCCAGAGGAGACCTCCAGCAGAAAAGCTGAGGGGGGGAGGGGGAGGGAGAGAGAGAGAAAGGAGGGGGGAGGGAAGAGAAGGAGGGGGAGAGGGAGAGAGACCAGATGAGGCTGGGCTACTCTAGGAAGCAAGCTCCTTTCCCTCACTCTGGGAACCACAGGGACAAGGGCTCAAAGGACCCAGCTTGAAAGGAGGCCGGCACTGGGCAAGATCACGGTGCCTCTGACCACACTTCCCACATCCTCTTGGGCTTTGCCATGACAGAGCTTGAAGGAATTGATCTTTCCTTATGTCACAGAAAGTGGGAAGGTGGTGGTGGCTGCCGGGCAGAAACCTGGGTCCACAGTTGTTAGATGATCCCTTCCCGCCTGCTGGAGACAACAGAGAGAAGCTTGGCCCAGGAGCCGGGGTATTGGAGGTGGACCTCAAGAAGACCCACTAGGAAGGTGTGAACCTCAAACTTTCCCATTAGTGGGGCTGGAGAGATGGCTCAGCCGGTAAGAGCACGCGTTGTTCTGGCAGAGGAGCTGAGTTCGGTTCCCAGCACCCACATGGTGGCTCACAACCATTCGTAAGTCCTGTTCTAGGGGACCTGACACGCTTTCCTGACCTCCACAGGACATACCGGCAGAAAGTCACACATGTTAAACAAATCTAAAAAAAAAATCCAGGATCAGACCAGGGTGTGAGAGCCAATGCTAACACTCAGAGTGGGGAAGCAGGAAACTCAAGGCAAGTCCAAGGCAGCTGTGAGCTACACAGGGAGCTCCAGGCAGGCCAGGAGAACCATGTGGAAACAACAAAGACCCTCAGGTTAGTTCTGGAATGAGTCCTCTCAGAAGGCAGCACTGCCTGGTGCCCAGACCAGGCAATGAAGGAGCTGTGTGTGCCTCCCCAGAGAAACGAGTAACCCCTGCCACTCCACAGCTCCCCAAGGAGGACCTTGGTAAACGGCAGATGACTTGTGGCCTCTGCTGTAGGGAGCTGGGCACTCAGTTGCCAGTCTCCCTAGTATTTAGGATTTCACGTTTTCCTTTTCTGGCTCTTTTCCAAACATTTTTGTGCACTGAGTGTTTTGCCTGCATGCAGTTTTGTGTCCCACGTGCGGCAGAGGCCAGAAGACCTGGGCCCTCTGGAGCTGGGCTGACAGGTGGCTGTGGGCTGCCGTACGGGGGCGGGGAACCAAACCTAGGTAGGTCCTCTGCAAGAGCAATAAGAGCTCCTAACCACCAAGCCAGCTCTCCAGCCTCGGCCCTTACTGGATCTTACAGATGGAGTCCTGAGCAGCCAACCAGGATGGTCAATCAAAGGAAAAGCAAAGGAAAGGAGGGAGGAGAGGGAGAGGAAGAGAGAGGAAAGGCCTATGGGAAAGAGCGGCCTCTCAGCACGGTGTAAGAGTAAGGGGAGGCCACGCTGCCTGACTCTCATACGAAGACGGAGCTGACACTGTGGAAATCAGTATCGAGGTTCCTCAAAAAAACTAAAAATAGAGGTCCCATATGACCCAGATACATACCCAGAGGGTATTGCCCAAAGGACCGTACCCTGTCAGAGAGACATTTGCCCGTCTGCAGTCGCTGCTGTCCTATACACAATAGCCAAGACAGTGGAACCAGAGTGGACGTTTATGCACAGAGATATAAATGGGCAAAGAAAATGTGGTCTACAGAGTGAGTTCCAGGATGGCCAAGGCTACACGGAGAAACTCTGTCTTGAAAAACCGAAAAATGAAAAAACAAGAAAGAAAGGAGGGAGGGAGGGAGGGAGGGAGGGAGGGAGGGAGGGAGGGAGGGAGGAAAAAAGAAGATGTGTCATTTATACATGATAGATTTTTTTTTTTTGAGACAGGGTTCCTGGAACTCACTCTGCAGACCAGGCTGGCCTCAAACTCAAGAGATCCTCCTGCCTGCCTGCCTTCCACATTCTGGATTAAAGGCGTGGGCCAGCACACCTGACTTTACAGAATGCTTTTATGCGGCTATCAAGGAAAAATGAAATCATGGCACTGGCAGGGAAGCGGACACATCCGAAAATGAGGTTGTTAGGCAAAGTCAGCCAGACACAGACAAGCGCTGCGTGCATCTTAGGTAGAGAACCTATGTTTAAATGTGTCTGTCCATGTGTGTGTGTGTATGAGGGGGCAGTCCACCACGCTAGAGAGGGGACCATAGGGGAGGAAGAGATCCTAAGGGAGAAACAGAGGCAGTCATGGAGCACACCATGTCAGAAAGCAGAAGAGAAACCGAGAGCGGGCTGGAGGAGGGGTGAGGCGGGAGAGGATGAGAACAAACTAGGAATGACACATAGGTATGGACATGCAGTGAGTAAAAGTCACCTTGCATGCTGACCTAAAAAAAAAAAAAACCAAATAATTGAAAGACAAAAAACTCAGTGGGTTAGAGCATTTGCTGCTCTTCTAGAGGACCCAAGTTCGGTTCCCGGCTCTGATGTCAAAAAGTCCACAGCCACCAGTAACTCAGGCTCCAGTGGACTCATACCGTCTCTTCTGGTCACCTCTGTACCCCACGCTCACATTGGTCACAAAACTGTCGGCAACACCTTCCCTCCACCACGATGACAGGCTTGGGGCTGGGTGGGAAGTAGAATTCTAGCCAATGAGACGTGTGGAAAAGGAGAAAGGTTTGCACCAATCTACAGAAACACCAGAAAGCGCCTGGCCTGGCTGAGGTGAGGCTGGCAGGAGTGAAGGGCAGAACTGGAAGACGTTTGCCCCAGGAAGCCATCACAGAGTGGTCCTCCTTCTGGACCCCTCCTCGTCTTGTGAAATGAACATGCAGACTGGGAGGGAGGGAGGGTCAGTGGTCGAGCTAGGATGCCTGAGGCCTCGGGTTGGGGGTGGGGTAAAAGAAAGAGGGAGAGGTTAGTTTGTGCCAAGCACAATGGTGCTGACCTGCCTACTTACCACGTGGCTATTTTGGAGGCTGAGGCCGGAGGACAGACCAGTTTGCAGGAAATTTCAAAACAAAACAAAAACAAACAAACAAACAAGACAGAGCACTTAGTCAGCAAAGCTTTTGTCACTAAGGACTCAGCAGAAAAACAAGACCACAAAACACAAAAGCAAAAAACCACCGCTTGTCCTGTCTGCAGCACGGCGGTGAGCTTTGAACATCTCTGCTCTCACCGACACAATTGTGCACGCTTGCAAATTCCAATTCCTGAGAGACTGAGGCAGGAAGGCTGCCACAAGTTCAAGGCTAGCCTAGGCTACTGAGTGAGTCCCAAACCAGCCAGAGCTAAAAAGTAGGACCCTGTCCTCAAAAACAACAAAAGCTCATCAAATAACAACAAAACCCCCAACATCTGTTCTTAGTGCTGCACATCACGTCACCAGGAGTC